AAAATTAGAAAATTTGAAAATTTGAAAATTTGAAAATTTGATAATTCGAAAAATTGAAAATTTGAAAATTTGAGAAGTTGAGAATTTAAAAATTTGAGAAAAATATTTAAATCTAAAAATATATAAATATTTGTTCGACTCTCGTCGACATCCAAAATGACTTCCGCTAAGCATACAGCAACAAAATGGAGGTCACAATGTACCTTCAAATGACGTGATACGTGGATATGAGTTGGAATACGAAATGGTTCAATTAAGTCGCATCGACGAATTCCAGTAAATTCCCAGTGCATGCAACATGTGTAATGAAAATACAATTACGCGAACCTACTGATTAATGCGAGTGTTAGTCGAATCGATGCGTATCTTCGATTTCGATGCACCACAATTATCCGCTGTAGTCAAATGTTTGCAGTGAAACGAACAACGGGGTCAATTTATTCGTTTTACTGTAACGATTCTCTGCTTAACTTCTATTATGTAAATCAATACGTAAATGAAGTGATCATTCGGCACAAATGATATTCGCAAGTTTCGTAAATTTATAATTACCAAATCATATTTACAATAGTACAATAGTACAATAGTACAGTTACAATATACACAGTACAGGTACAATGCAAATAGTACAGTTTACACGTTCTGCAAGTCACACATTTAATGAATTCATCAATCTTAAATGGTGATAATTTTTGGAAGTTGCAGATGTTTAATGTTTTGAATTTGAAGTTTGCTTTTTAATTTTGAAGTTTGCGAGTTTCCAAATTCCTAAATTCCCAAATTGTTAAATACCCAAATGTCTAAATCCCCAAAATCCTAGATTTCCAAATTTCCACATTTCCACATTTCCAAATTTCCAAATTTCCAAATTTCCAAATTTCCAAATTTCCACATTTCCACATTTCCAAATTTCCAAATTTCCAAATTTCCAAATTTCTAAATCCCCAAACTCCTAAATTTCCAAACTCCTGAATTCCCAAATTTCTAAATTCCCAAATTCCCAAATTCCCAAATTCCC